AAAATCTGAAAAGATATAGTACCCTTTAAACTAATATAGTATTTTATTTAAAATAAAAAGTAAAAACGCTTTTATAGTATAAATTTTTTTCTTATGCATTTCTTTTATAAGAAATATATTTATTTGCACTTAACTGAAATCTGACACAGCCGTGCGACAGCAAATTTTATACACAAAAAAATTAATTTATTAGTGAAACTATTGGTAACTCATAGTACAACTGCATACTTGGTTTTTCTCTCTGACGACAGGATTTTTTTTAAAGGCCTTTTAAATTTAAAAAAATATGATTATTTCAAAAAAAATAAAAATATAATCCGTGCAATGCACTATGGATGAAATAAGCACTTTCTTCGACCAAAAGTGCTGTTTTCAACTTTTGCTTAACAAATTTTTAACAGGCGGAGTTTATTCTAGATTCTCTAATTAGAAAAGAAATTAGAAAATTATGACCGCAAGGTAACCCTGGTCCCTTTTGGTTCCAGTTTGTGCTCGAACTTTATTATACTGAACTGCAGTGCAAAGAGGATGTGTTTAACGTATATAAGAAGTTTGAAGTGTGATTAATTAAGCAATGGAAAATAATACTAATGATACATATGTACTATTGACTGTAACAATCGTGGTTTTAAATAACATTTGTGTTTTTGAAAAATTCACTGTTTCAAAGTGCATGTCAAGATTATAATTGAGGGATTCACAACGGTGTCGTAAGTGTCGTATTGTTGTATGTCGTAAACTTTAAAAGCTTAAATAAATGTCTAGAGAACTTGAAACCACAACCAACAATTTTTTAACACTGCGAAAATTCATAATATTACTTTGACGGTACTTTGCGAACCCCCTTAATATATTTTTTAGGCGTTTAAAGTTAACTACATACAACAATACGACACTTACGACACCGTTGTGAATACCCCAACTAATTTAAACATACTATTGTTTCGTCGGCCGCTGTGGTGTAGTGGTAAGCAGTGCGCGCTTCCACTCCGCAGCACCTGGGTTCAAACCCTGGTCAAAGCAACATCGCAAAAATGCAGAAAAAAGCTTTTTCTTAACAGCGGTCGTCCCTCGGCAGGCAATGGCAAACCTCCGAGTGAATTTCTGCCATGAAAAACAGCTTCTTATAAAAATACAATCGCCGTTCGGAGTCGGCGCAAAACTGTAGGTCCCTCCGCTTTGTGTGACAACACCAAGACGCACGCCACAAATCGGAGGAGAAGCTCGGCCAAACACTAACATATGTGTAAGCGCCAATCTATTATTATTATTATTACTATTATTATTGTTTCGTGGAGTGTAAGTTATTCTATCCGATCTCGTCCGGTATCATATACGTATATATCTCATAGAGGGTATTGTATCTACTTTCATTTGATATATGGATTGTCCGCTGCATCTTGCTGCTGTTTGATAAAATTACTATCTTCAGACGTCATCAAAGTCCAAAATTAACAAATATCCAACATGTGGATGGACCGGAAGTCTATTTTTTTAAATGGGACATACATAATGTGACCAACTATTTCTTAGCTCAAAGAAGTACAGAAACTTAAAACCGAAAATACTATGAAAGTAATGAGAAAATGGTAAAAGCAGAATATAACAAAACGGTAGCAGCATACCAATTCAACAAATAAATTTCAATAATTAAAAATCTATACTATTTATTATTCTAAGATAAGCTGCTTATTCCCAGCGATCTACTAATCGTACAGGGACAAGTCATGTATGGAATTTTAGTGCTCGATCTGAAACTTTGCACGAACATTTCAGATTTGGACCACTTTTAATATATTTGCATGGAAAAATTTTTCAAATTGTACATTGAACAAAGCATTACTACGTTCATTTCAATAGGCAGCAACTGCGGAGCGCGCTGAATATGGAGTAAAAAAGGACGCCCATAGCAACTCCTTGAAAGAGCGTTTTCAGAGCACTCCAAATATGGAGTGAAAAGGGACTCCCACGTTAACACCTCGAATGAGCGTTTTCGGAGCGTTCCGAGTATGGAGTGAGAAGGGAGTCAAAAAGTGTTTTTTGTTTTCCTGTTTTTTTTTATCTAGTCTGTGAATTGAAAAATAAATTTTCAAATAAGAAGAAACTGATCGTCGTTTGCGAATATTTCTGAAAAGAGACATCGCAAAAAAGCTGTTGTCGTTGCGGCAGTTTCAAATATATTTAGAGGTAACAATAATGCATAAAAAATTAATTTTTGTCTTACTTTGGAACTTTGCAGATGTATTTAATAAAAAATATGCTGAATCTAGCAAAGATATTCCATATAGCGGGCGAAAAGTGGTTCCAAACCTAAAAGGAACGTATTTTAAACAAGATAAAAAATATTTTTTGATTTACTTCAGGATTTTTCCATTTTTATATGTATTTTACTGAATAATATGTAAATCTGTAATTTAGCATTTTTTCAATAAAAAGAAATTATGAAAACACTTTAATACTTATTAATTATAAACAAAATTAAGAAAATTTTGAAAAACCGTAAAGCCACCTTTTCGGTCTATTAACGGACTCCGCTGGTATACTGGGAACAATATTTTTGAAAAACTAAATTTTTTTTTTAAATTTTGCATATATGATTTTAAAATCCTGGCAAATTAAAAAAAAAATCAATTCCGACAAATTGTTCTAAATAAATGTGAGATTATTTCAAATTTCTTTTGCAAGTTAGAGAAGGTCGAGATCTCTCCCCTTACTCAAAAATTAAGATAAGTACACTGAGAGTCTATTTTCTATATCCATATTTGAAGGATTGAGCAATTTCGTTTCCAAAAAATGAGCAATGTACGATAGTTAATAAGAAAATGGTTAATATGTTGCCCGGATAAGAAAATGTTTACTATGGCATCGATACTGTCGTTTCTGAATATCCACAGGAGCAAGTAAGATTCGCCACATAATTTTTAAACTCCCTAACACCTTTTAATTTTTCTTTTTCAGCTAGAGAAGTGAAGTGATTGCAAGACATGATTTAAGTGTCGATCTATGAGTACCTTTCCTAACTGAGATCACTAACATTTTGAAATTTTTTGAAACAGTTAAAGAAATTTCTACTTAAAAGGTATTATCTTACAAGGCTTATCAAACAGGTATTAGAGCAAAAAGTACATTAATGTGTATTTTGTTGTTGCTTATCTAGAGTGTCAAAAGCTGTTCTGATTTTGAGTAAAAATTAAAAATTAAATTTTGTTTGCTTCTCGATCCATCATTGCATTGATCCATCATATTCAAGGCTCAGTAATCAGCGTTTGTGCTGCGGAGTTCGGTGAACGTTCCAAATGTTGCTTTTTAATCGCTTGTTTTGTATGGGAAAAGGTTTCACATGCAAAATGATTTGACAATTTATATTTTTTGCGAGAAGAAATTAAAAATATTTGACATTTTAGAGACCGAACAACTTGGAAAAAAAATCAAATCCGCCGCTCTACTGGTACTACCTGTTCAATGTGCTTTGGGTAGGACAAAACATTGCAAAGAAGTACATTTGGCTGTACTTCGAAGTACGAAGTACAATGGCTCCAAAAGAAGTACTGTACTTCCGAAAGAAGTACGGTTGGTCACATTAGACATACATGCTTTTGCCAAAGATTCGGATTCTGCGGACAAAAATACGTAACTTTTGTCAGAAATGTTTCTCCGAAATGGACTTCCGGTAAAAATAATGGACTTTCGGTCTGTTTAACCTACTTCCGGTCAAAGCCGGAAGTCGGTAATACGACCAAAAGATAGAGCTTCCCCGACTTGGTAGGTTATATTTTTCCGTTTTCCAATAAAAACATTTTCCTCCGTTTTAGAAAGGCTGGACGGGTATGTGGGCGTTGGATGTAAATACTGGCCGCTTTCGCTGGTTTTCAAACCAAAGTCTTCTAAGGTTCTAAGAAGCATGTGTTCACGATTTTAAGCTACTTCCTGCATCGGTTGATTTTTGGCCGCAGAAAGTGCCTATATAAAAGAAAAAATTCTGTAGAATTATAACAGAATAAATTTGTTGGTGCATAAGGACGAATGGATATGGAAAATGTCCTCTACAATTTTTTTTCTTAAATATCGTTAACAATTTGCAATATTGTTTTTTTGAAAAAGTTATTGTTTGAGGACTAATATACGCACGACCTCATCATCGAATTTTGTCCTGCAAACTTTATTAACTTAAAAAGATAAAATTTATTAAAAGCGCATTTTAAATACCTATTCGTCCTTGTAAACCAAAAAACTTTATTATTTTGAATTCTGAAGAATTGTCTCTCTTATTTGGTACCCATATTGTTATTGTACATCACACCGATTTTT